GATATTTATCTGTTTCTCGGAATGTGCCAGTTTTAAAAGTGCTTTACAGTTTGTAAATTAACCCGTGGGTCTTACCCTAATGTCTATATTGGACAGACCGGTGGAAACTTCAAAAAACGCTTAAGAGAGCATAGAAATAGGTATTTAAAGAATAATAATAATAAAAATAAAAATAATTCCACATTTTTAAACCATGTCACTGAAGGAAGACATTGTTTTAATTTTAATTTGAATATTAACTATACTAAAAGCACTGTTACTAAATTTATTCTAATTGTACGTCGACATTTATCTGTTCTTTCCTGTTTTACTTGTTTTATAATCTTCTCATCTCTACCTATTGAAACTCTAAAGAACACTGCAACTTTACAGTAAACACCCAGTTCTGAAGAAGCTAATGCTTTGGTGTTTTGATTAAAATAAATTTTGAAAATCTTTGAAAATTGTATTAATTTGCGAGGATGGATTTTCATCAAGTAAACGTTGCGACCATTCAACATTTTTTAAAATACAAAGGAAGAGATGTAAAAAATCAGGGAATATACTACCTTATTTATTAAAGATTATGGGACACCTAATATGAAAACGAGAATTTAGGATCCTGTAGATTTCCAGAAGTTAATTTTATAAACTTATCATTGTATTTGCGCTTCATTATGATAAATAAATCACTACACAAAATTATTTTCAACGCATTGAAATAAAAAAGTTTTTTAAAATATTCAAACTTAAGTAATAATATATTTGGAAGGTACACAACCCTCGGCCCACAAATCAAACTTGTACTTGACTGATCCTTTTTTTTTGGTATTGCTACCACTTGTTTGTGTTTTTTACATTTTTTTATTTTTTCTACTTTAGTCGAGCCTATTTTGCTTTTAGAAAAAAGCAAGCAAAAAGCGCTAATGTACACCTACGTAATAACTTAAACTATCATTTAATTTTTAATTGGTACTTACTGAAAAGAATTTAACTGCAGCTTCTTAACAACAAATTACACCGGATTAGTCACACCTACTTGTTTCGATTCATACACTTATTGAATTAAAAGTGCGTCTTATAAGGAAATCAACAATTGCAGTGAATAATCAGGCAATATTTCATGTAGTAAAGTTCAGTAAGCAATTCACGATTGTAAACACTAGTTTAATACTTTCAATCCGATTCAGTCGGCTCTTGGCAACGACTGAACTTGTACTGTAGTTGTACTTGAGATTTTCCTTTTTAATAAAAGTTCTGAAAGACCTGTAACCACTTCCACCGCATATTTTATTGATGGTAGGTATTCCGGTACCCATTTCTTCTAGCATCGCAGTGCTAAGGTACTGAGGTACTGCAGGTTAATGCAGTATTGTAATTCTGGGCTTTTTGTTCAATACAAGTTTTTCGAATCTAATAAATTATTTGTAACAGGACAATACAGGTACCACAAAAAATGTTAAAAACCTTCTAGTCAAATATTGGACATTTATTCAGAATTCTTTACTCCCTAAACATCCCCAGAGTCAATTTAGTAAAAAAGCGGGAATAAGCTTTATACATAACATTTTTAACATCTTGTAAAGAAAAAAAAGAATGTACATTATCTTTGCGTGATAAAGAAAACATAAGAAAATTTTAAAATACGAGCATCGAACTATTCTTCTTGCTGATTTACAGAAAAGGGCTTTTTGGTCATGATAAGCAACATCTTTTTTTCAGGAAAAATCAGTTTTAATAAAAAGAGTGAAGCTCGTTGATGAATCTCATAATCTATAAATTAGTAGGAGAAGTTCGCAGGATATGCGGTATTAGATTGAGAATTCCATTTAAAATATTCCCGTTTTTGGGAAAACTCATTTTGATAAACTTTTAATAGAAAAATAGGTCATGTAACAATCTTAAGGTACGCAACACAACATACATGCTTTATATCGTTGATGCATAGATTACCCGAGCGAACCACGGTAAACCTGGTATCACTTGAAACTTAATTACGCGAATATGCGCTAAAAATGAGCCACAATCGTAAAAATCAATTAAATCGATCTTAACCGAATAATAGCTCAACTGAATATTTTATTATTATATGTCAGCACAGGGCAAAGTAGTATTACGTAGTTAGTATCAGCAATTTTTTATGCTGAAGTGTACGATATGTTGCATACACATTTACCAATAATTCCTTTAAATTTTAATCAGTGGTTACTTTACATCTATTAAGAGACCATAATGGCCGACATCAGTGACAATGCTACAACAATTGAAAAATAATGATGGCCGACAACTGCAACAATTAGAAAAGAATGATGGCCGACACTACGTCATAATGGAGCAATAAAAATGGCCGGGACAGAGGGAAGAACTAGTGCCGCTAACAAAATAAATGTTTTTCCTTTTTGAATTAATGGGGTCCCTAAAAAAACTCGCACAAAAATCGAGGACAAAACGAAATACGTAAAAATTGTAGTTTTATAATATTTCAAATTTGTAATAAAGAAACTCGATTTTTACATTTTTTAACTGTCAGATAAAAAACATTATGTGAATTTTATTAATTTGTATTTAAGTATTTTGTTATATTTTTAAATAATTGTTATGACTAGAGTAGTATTAATTTTGAAATGTAGACAGGCGAAACGCACTTGCGCAATTCTAGTTTTCGTCCACTCTGCAACCTAACCATAGCTAGTCAACATGGCGAAAAAGAAAGTTGAGGATAAAAATAACCAAAACAGTGATAGTACAAAATATGACGGTGATACTTCATCTACGGATGATGAGCCAAACTTTAGTGATCCTGAGGGATATGTGGACGATATCACCGATGAAGGTATTTATCTAAAAAAAGTTCAATATTGTCGGTCTGGCAAGTGCCATGTGTCATACTTGTCAATTTTTCTTAAATAAATTGATATAAAGTGAATATTTTAAATGTCTCAATAATGGCTAAGCATTTACTGGATATTGCTTTTTATGTTATAATATTCGTAATCCAGTTTTTGTTAAAATAGGGGTAGTTCCTAATTTTAAGGTTATATTATTCTCTACACTAATTGCTTATTGTCTCATTAGGTTTTAGTGATAATCATTTTACTTATATGTTTTTAGAGTTACTAGGAGATATCTTAAAGGATAAACCAAAAGAAACTGATGGAGTAGAAAGTGTGGTTGTTGTAGATGGGTGTCCTCAGATAGGACCTGAACGTCTTGAGAAGTTGCAGAGTGTTGTTAACAAAATATTTGGCAAATTTGGCGATATTGTTAACAGCTACTATCCTGTAAATGAAAAAAATCAGACAAAGGGTTACATATTTTTGGAATATGCCAATCCACAAGATGCAAGTGAAGCCGCAAAAATGATAAACAATTATAAATTGGATAAACAGCATACATTTTTGGTTAATTTGTTCAGTGATTTCGAGAAATATGAAAGTATTCCTGAAGAGTGGGAACCACCTCAGCCTCAACCATATAAAGGTCAAGCAGATCTCACTTATTATTTACTAGAGCCTGACGCTTATGATCAATATTGTGTTGTAAAAGCACAGGAACAGTCTGTTCAAATTTGGCAGAATACACAGCCAGAACCTACTTTGGTAGAAGATAGACAGGTAAGAAATTTATTTACTATTTTGTTATGTAATAGTGCAAAAGTAGAATTAAATGTTCTGTTAATTTTCAAAACTTTCAAAAACATTTTCTTATGGACTCTATTGTGTATTTTGAATTTAGTTGACTGCTAAATAACTGATTTTATTCTTGATTGTTTTAAATTTATAGATTACTTATTTATTGCTTTTTTGACTAGCTCTGGACGCACACTTATGTGAAATGGTCCCCATTGGGTACTTTCCTTTCTACTTTCCACAAGCAAGGTGTGGCACTTTGGGGTGGTCCCAACTTCAGCCAGTATAAAAGATTCTCACAAGTAGGTGTACAATTCATTGATTTTTCACCCTGCGAAAAGTATTTGGTTACATATTCACCTCAAGGGGATATTCATAACCCAGAACAAAAGAAAATTATCATGTGGGACATAAGGTGAGCATATGTACTTTTTGTAATATTATTTTTAAAATAAAAGGCATTATTTTGCGTATGATAAATTCTGTTGTATTCTTTTATCATTTAGAAGTTGAAAGATGAATTTTTACATGAACTATTAATTATCTGTTTTTTGCTATTGTGATTATTAAAATGAAGACACGCCCTTACACAAGCCCTGATAATTTGCTGATAAGAAATTAAATTGTTTTTATCAGTTATACGCTCAGGGGAAAATATAAAGTGCATGGTCCTGTCCAAGATTTGTCACAACATGATACTCTTGCGTATGACCTTTGCTACATTTGTAAAAGTTATTTCCTAAAAGGGATGTTAATTACACAATAATTATGAAACATCTTGTAATTTTATTAATAAAATAATCAGAGTAAGGAAGAACGAGAATACCATGATTATCATTGTTTTGACTGTTTAGTAACATAGTTAGTTTAATAGTTATTTGTTCTTTTTTTAAGAACTGGCCAAGAAAAACGTTCTTTTAATCCCGAAGGGCCGTCTTCATGGCCTATGTATCGTTGGTCCCATGATGATAAATATTTTGCCAAAATGGGTAACGATATGTTATCTATTTACGAGACACCGTCGTTCGGTCTTTTGGACAAGAGATCGGTAAAAATACCCGGTATACGCGATTTTAATTGGTCGCCAACTGATAATGTCATAGCTTACTGGGTCGCCGAAAATAAAGATGTACCCGCAAAAGTTATAGTCCTCGAGATACCAAACCGAACCGAAATTCGTGCCAAAAACCTCTTCAACGTAGCCGATTGTAAGATACACTGGCAGAAATCTGGCGATTACCTCTGTGTCAAGGTAAGACTTTGGGAAACATTTTTTAATCAAAAAGATTTTGGAGTAGGCTTAGCATTCAAAATTCTTGTTAATATGGACCTTAAAACTGGCGGATTTTTACTGAACTTTTGATAAAAGACCAAATACGCTAGGAATTAAATAAAATTACAGAAATGCTTAATAATCAAATAATAAATGCATTTTGTTCGTAGAAATATTGTCCCACCTTAGGTCGACAATCATAATAGTAAAATATTCCTTATTCTTATTGAAACCAATTTTAATTTAATGATTTTATATAATATTATATTGGAATGATAAGGTTTTGAGATTTATTCTACATACGTAATCTAAACGTTTAATTTACTTTTTAGGTCGATCGATATTCGAAAGTTCGCAAGGAAAAGAACGAAACAAAATATTCAGGTCTTTACTACAACTTCGAAATTTTCCATATGCGCGAAAAGCAGATCCCGGTCGATAGTGTGGAGAGTAAGGAGCCGATTCAGGCGTTCGCATGGGAACCGGTCGGTAACAAGTTCGCGATAATTCATGGTGAGTCGCCGAATATCAGCGTGAGCTTTTATGAAGTGAGACAGGGTCAAACGCCTGCTCTCCTCAAGAAGCTCGAGAAAAGGGCATGCAACCATCTGTTCTGGTCGCCAAATGGACAGTTCATCGTGCTCGCCGGTCTTGGTTCGAGTAGCGGAGGTTCGCTTGAGTTCGTGGATACTCACGATTTCATCGTCATGAACACGACCGATCATTACCAGGCGTCTGACGTCGAATGGGATCCTACAGGACGGTACGTCGTCACCGGAGTCTCCGTTTGGAAGACCAAAGTAGATACAGGTGAGACATAGCTACTGATATGCTTTTAAAGATTTACTTTTCTTTTCATGTCACTGTTTTGAAGACTGATATTTTTATTATTCAGTTTTTTTGATATAATAAATGTGACATATATTAGTTTGAAGATACGAGGGAGGATTATTTTAAGGTTTGTTAATCGTCTGCGATACACTTCAAACATTTCCTGTTTTTTGAATATGCACAACTGATAAAATTAAATTTCTCATGCGAAGTGGGATTTTTTTGCGTTTTAAACATTGTAAATTTATTATAGTTTTATATTATGGATTTTATTGATCTCCAGGAGTAACTGTAAATGTGTAAATAAATGTGCGAATATTTGTTTTATTTTAAGGATATTGGATATGGTCGTTCCAAGGTAAGATATTGAAAAGAGTGAATTTGGAGAATTTCGCCCAATTGTTGTGGAGACCTCGCCCGCCCACGTTGCTCAGCGAAAAACAACAGAAAGAGATAAAGAAGAACCTGAAGAAGTACTACTCGCAGTTTGAGAACAAAGATCGTATGCGACAAACCAAGGCGTCCAAGGAGCTTATCGAAAAGAGGGCAGCACTTATGGAAAAGTTTAACTCTTACAGGCAAAAGAGGATCGAGGAGTGGGAGACTCAGAAACCACGGCGTTTAGAGCTTAGAAATGGTGAGAACTTTTTAAAATTATCTTCTACACCTTTGTTACTCTATTAAGTGATATGTCATTATTATTTAAGTTTACTTTTATTAACTAATTTTAATTGTATATTTTTTATTTTATTTTTTTACACAGGTATCGACACCGATGAATTAGAAAACGACAGTCAGAACTTAGAAGAAGAAGTTGTTGAATTTTTCATTAAGGAAGAAGTAACTGTCATCGACTGAGCTTCATTCATTCAAAGTGTATTTTCCTTGTGCGTTTCTTGTGTAAAGGTTGCAGTACACAAGAGACGTTTCGTTAATTTTCGCGTCTTTATCAGGGCGATATTGTGAAACACAACCGTAGATCGGTTGCTCCTCAACTTAAACTCTTCGGTGTTTTATTTTCGACCTTTTAATAAAAATTTGGACACGTACACATAAATAAATAATATTAACTTGTGTAGATTCAGTGATTGCTTCATTTAATTAATTACTTTTGTATTTAACGGTTATTTACATCTCAGCTAATGAGGGTTGTTGTAAACGAATTTGATTGCAGAATGTGGTTGGTTAAAACCTTTAGCTGTTTTATAATTATAATAATTAATA